AATGTGCTCGAAACGTCATCAGTTAATATTACTGTACAACACTGTGTGATTTATCAAAACAAAATCTTATCCATAATGGAGTAATAACAAGTAACTCTGGCTGGTTGGGAACAAACCAACCAAGAGCCGACCGCTCAACAAATATTTAGGCGAAAATGGAAACGGCATGGGCACACACTGAGGAGACAGTTGAGTGACATCTCACGTCACGCCCTAGAGTGGAACCTAAATGGGGAGCGACGAGTTTTTCGTAGGTGTCAGGTAGACATGTAGGAGATTTTGGGAGTTGGAGGAGAATGGAGAGTTTGGGCAATCATGGGTCCAGCTAAAGGGGACAGGAGAAAACGAAACATAGTGGACATGTGTTGTTGAAGCCCTATATTCCACTCGAACCCAATGGAATCATAACACATAACGATATATATATATATATATATATATATGAAGGCAAAAGGTTTTGTTTAAATCATCTATAACTCTAAACAATTTTTATTTACCAAGATGTTTGGGGGAAACTTTAAAAACATTTTCTTTTCATTACCTTCGTGCTTAGCTACATTTCCATTCATTATCATAATTTCTTCAGGTATGGACGATGATGCTGCTGAATTATTGCTATTACTGCCTTTGACACTTGTTAGCACTGAATCCACATTGCCTAAAATACGCCATTGTTCAAACTGATCATCACTATCGAGCTGCTGTTGTTGTATAGGTAGACTGTTGTTTGATGACGATAAATTGTTTGGCAGTGCATTTGCTAACTCTGGACTAGCACAAGATACAATAAGGCGCACAGTGAAGTCTTGACGAAAGTCATCACACTGCAAACATGTGTCCTGAGTGACATTGAACTCACCAAGAGTTTTATTCAATGTATCTAAAATAATTGAATAACAAAGAAGCATATATATATATAGTGTGTAATGAATAGATCTGAGGGTAGTCTTTATAACATTGCCCCCTCCTCTAAACTTGATACACCTGAGTGTTGCATAAAAGCATAGAAATCTCGTATTTCACAGTGGTTAGGACTCTCGCCGACCATGCAAATGGTTCGAGGTTCGATCCCCTGCCGACGAACACCTGATATCTATGGTCGGCATGCAAAATTTGAGCTACCGATATCCATGCTGAAAATTCCATACTTGTACCAAAAATACAGTGTAGAATCAAGCTGTAATCAAAATCAAAATCAAAGTAAGACTAGGCTATAATCATCACAGTGTACTTCGTCTTAAAACGCTAGACAATGGAGGGTGGTTATTCCGTGTCCCTGACAACAGTATAGCTGAATGGTATTTGACAGGCAGTGAAGCACTGATCATATCTTTCGATTCCTTACAATCCGAGTGAGACAAAGAGCTTCAAGCTTTGAATTTCTAATAGCAGTGGTGTTGTTTCTACGGGATGGATTTGCCAACCTCACAAGCCTAACCCTCGTTTTATTTTCAGAAAACTACTACACCACCAGTTAGGCGTGATTTAAGAGTCCGTCAGTTGGGAATCAAACCTGGACCTACTGTATGATTGGTAAGCATTCAACCGCTGAGACATTGAAGCACCAAGGCAGAAGCGCTGGCTATACACAAAGATACACCCTGAACTCCAAATACAGAAGCAATTTATCCGGTCCCCTCTTATTACAGTATCCTTTCTTTTCTTAATTCATACAGCAACTCAGCATGCAATCCATAGTCCTTCGTCTTAATTTTCCCTTCAAACTCCCAAATTTAAAATATGCTCCATACAATACATATTCTGAATCTCTAACCCTTTTGAGTGATGTTCTTGTTTCCAAGCGATTGTCATTTTTAATGGTAATCATTTCTGAGGGGTAACTACTGATCACTCATTGTATTTAGATTACGTATGAACAACTGACCTCATAGACAATTCCCTGACCTTTAACAACACTATATAAGCAAATGTACAGATTTGAAGTGAAGTTACGAAAAGAATATTTTCTGGTGACCTACGCGTTTTTCTGACCATCTAGTAATATTTACTTTTACTTAACCATAAGAATTGACAGCTATCAATTGTCTGTCTATCTGTCTGTTTTCGATATAGAACTTTGCACATATGTGCGCCAGTTCAAGTCGCCACACTCCATGCAACACACAGCTAGAGAAGAAAGTAAAAGAAATGATTATTAGAGACAGTAAACAGAGGTGTGAGACAAAGGAGTAGTAATAACGAAGAACAAAACAGTTTGATTGGAAATCATAAGTCACAAGAAGTGGATGCATTTGCGCCATTGAGAGTGATTTTGAGCCATGTCACCAATAGTTTTCAACCATTGGTTTTTACCGTCCCGAGGACTCCAGCCAGTCAGGAAGTCTACACATCCCGACGTGGCTGGCTCAAACTAACTGTGGGGGATTTCATTGACTGATGAGGCCATGTTTTGGTTTGGCCGCCGCTATCTGTTTTCCAACTTCTTTTTATGTCAGTCAGCTAACATTGCCCATTGTCGAGGAAGGCGATGACTAGACATACGTAACACATGTCCTAACCATCTCAGTCGATGTAATTTCACAGCCTCGTCGATTGATTTCCCCTTCCTCCTTACCTAGCACTCGACGTCTAACCTCAGTATTGCTCACTCTATTATACCATTTCACACGGGAGATGGAACGCAGACACATATGATCAAAGACAGCTAACCCGTCTTTTCATGTCTTCCACTCTCAGTGGCCAGGTCTCGTTCACAGCCATAAAGGAGGACGGAGCGGACTGATGAGCAGTACACCTGCCCTTTGGTCGGCAGCCAGTCGGATATCACGTCTACTAAGCCAGAGACGGCGTAAACTGGCATATGCAGCTATCAATTACACCGATCTACAGTATCCTTCACTAAATCTTAACACGGTCTTCATTAAGAATAAGATGGCTTGTTGACAGGTTTATGGTCATCTTCCTATAACTACAATTACTGTAATTCAGTTAGTTACAGTTCGGACTCAGTCATCTGAAAGAGAGATTTTCTATAATTCAGGTTAGTTATATGAGCCGTACCATCGTACGAGGACTAATGATATTACTGCTCAAGTGTCCAAGATGAATGAAGCCAGGGGAATGGGATTTGATCTCAAGAGTCAGTGGCTGAAAGCCAGTAAGTAATATCTCTAATGAGATGCATTTCAACCTGATAATAATAATTTTTCCTTCACGTTCCCCAGTGGAACACAGGGCTTCAAGCTAGTGCCTGAAGTTTCTGTAGCAGTGTTTATTTTATTTATTTATTTAGACGCATAAAAACTTGGTACAATATGGCACCTAGAAGGATGCGCCACACAATAATAATAAAGCAACATAGATCAAAAGAAAAAAGGAAAGAAGAGAATATATATATATATAAATAGAGAACCATAAAGAACTTCTGGAAGGAAAACAGTCATGCTTAACAAGTTCAAACAGTATTCGTTAACTATCATCGGGAAGGGAAGAAAGAAGGAAACTGCAACTTGTGTAATAGCACGCTATAAGTTTCATTGATTGTTTGAGGGCTGAGATATTGCCCGGGTGCCCAAACCGAAGCAGGTGATTTTATTAGGGGACCACCCCCCGAGCCTTTGACTTGGAGTCTAATCTGCAAGGCAGCGGAGCAGCGTCAGGAGCTGCATTCCCATGGTTTCGGGTGACCCATATGGGTTCATACGCCATTTGATCCGATTGGATACTGGAGCCCATGTACCCCATGGTAACTGCTTTTAGTTTCACCGCTATCCAACAACCTTCCTGACATGACACGACAGAGTCCCAGTCAGTTTAGCATGTTGGGTCGTTACGGTATTCAAGCCCGACCACCACGACAAGGTAGCAGTTATCGGCCGGGAGTGGGGTTGCTAGCCTCATGCCCAACCTTTCCTCTTTACCAGCATTATTTCTGGCTTAGCGAGGTAAAGAAGTGCGTCGGTCGGGGATCGAACCCCGGACCATGTGCATGGTCGGCGAGCGTCCTAACCGCTGTGCCACCGACGCATACATGCATTTCAACCTAAGAGAATTTATTGAATTAAATTTTCGAAATACCCTACGATTTATTGATATTAGATGGCTGGAGGCAATCGGCAGGAAGCCTCAGACCTAGGTTTCGTGCTAGTAGGCACTCGTCAGTCAACAAGGCGTATCTGCAATTTTGAAAGGACTCATGTTTCTCCTGAGATTCAAACTGGCGTCACCCATTGCAGCAGTCAGAGGCGTGATTGACCTCCTGTAGGATTGTATTGGATGCTTTAATTGGACATTAGTTAGTACGAAGTGAAATTTCTCAACACACTTTCCTTTGTAAACAATGTATATCGTCTGCTTGATACCACAAATGATATAATCGAGAAAGCAGGTAAAAGAGCACGGAGGCATGTAATACTGATAAAGATGAGTAGCTGGATAATATTCACATCAACTTGTACTGTTTGCCAGCCAGTGGTCTAAACACTGGACAGCCGTTTTGTTCAAGTAGCAGCTGCCCAACCAGAATTCATATGGTTTCAAGTTATTCGGCTCCGGATACACCGTCGATGGGTTCAGCTACAAACGAGTAAAAACCACCACCCAGTGCTTAGGTCACTTCTAGAGAACACTACTAGTTGATGTATGCGTAGTATCCAACTACTCATGTAGCATGGAAAAATCTATGTTAATTGCATTTAAACTGAGAGCATGACTCATCAATAAAAAATGTTTATAAAACAAAAACATAGTCATCAGAGGAATATACACGAACTATGTAGAACCTCGTATAATTACAACTTGATCTCATCTGAGATACTTAGAAGTCAGGAACATGCTAAGAGCTAGACGTGTCGTCAGAGGGCTGGTGATACTACCCAGTTGACCAGGCTGAAGTTAGTGGTGGAGTGGGACTCGAACCCATGACACAACGGCTGTAAACCAAGTGTTAAAGCCAATATGTGACATCTCATGAGTCAGAAAAAAAGAGCAAAAGAGTAAAAAAACAGAAAATTATTTACTGACGATTAACAACTACCTACCTTCGTCTGTTTCACCCTCTTCACTTGATATCAAAATAACACCACGATCAGACAGTTCTACATCTGGCGCTAACATGCCTAAATGTCGGATTAGAATACGATCACGTAGAATACGCAGGGTGAGCATTTCTGGTGCACAGACTAAGCGTAGCTGGGAATTTTTGATTGTATCACTACACACCAGACAAGAGGGATTTGGTGGTGCAGGTTTCACTGGGACAACAAGGCGACGATTACCACGACGACCAGTTGGTTGACGATGGAGGTAGACGGTGCGTACACGCTAGAAAAGAAAAGGATATTAGAGGGAAAACATTGTTAACTACATATGATCAGCTCACAAATAAAAACTTCAAAAATAAAACGCTTTATTATATCTCCCAGGTTTAAGTCACTTGTGATTAATGCAAAGTTGAGAGGATGTCTAAGAATTTCCTGGAGAATAGTACTGGAAGCATGAAGAAATCAAACGACGATCTATTCTTTCAAGTCAAAACTACACATGTGAAACGCAATCTGTGGCCTTTGTCCAGTATGTATCTAGATTATATTACCAGTCATGTTACCTACCTGGTATGGTAGGACTTGTGGGGACATCAGTTTCAGCCAGTGTAGCTTATCGCATCATTGAGATATGGAAGCCCGACTACCACGTCAAGGTAGCAGCCGTTGCACCCATATGAGGATTTGTGATATAATATGATCCCGAGTCTAAAAACGCTGTAATTAGCTTCCAAAAACAGACAGACAATTAGCTAAATAAACAATAACTTTCAATCATTAAGAGACTTGAGAAATCAGTCTTTTGTGATACTTAATATAGTATTTTCAGATATTTTAAGGGGATCTTTTACAACCCAAGGTGAGAATTCACCAGTTTAACTCTGTTGTATGTACCATTTAGGCATAAATTAGTGACTCAAATCATTATTATCTAAAAAGTCGTGGATAATGCTAAGGAGTTTGAAACAATTCTCAGAGAGAACACTGTTTCCCGCATGGATGCAGGTATATCCATCCAACTAGTTCAAAATAAGACATCCCGGATTCTACTACTGGTCACCCTATCAGCCGACTACTAACCAGTTGTTACTCCTGACATAAATACCCATCAGTTGTACATCTAAATCGACATGTCTAAACAGAAAAAATTCGAAGCTCTGAAAACCTTGTTATCAATCACTGGAAAATGGGAAGGTACATACAAACATACACAGATCAATAAAATAAAAGATAACAAAACAACTTACCTCGTAATGTTTAGATAAAATATGTCTGGCTTGAAGTACCATTAGCCCAGCGACTATTGCATTTGTAGACGCCACCGCAGGAATGATATTCCCGGCTAAAGATTTGATTGTAAATCGAGTGAGTTGATCAGCACCAGGTGAGTGGAACACTTGTGAACGAATGACAGCAGCGGATGCCACAAAATCCATAGCCTCTTGATCATCCTGAAATAAAACAATATGTATGAAAACTAAGCCTGTTTCAAAATTCTCTCGGATGTGTGGGAATCTGAAAATAAATAGTGATTGGGATGTGAAAACGTCACAATCAATATTGTAGTACACCAGTTTACATGCATGTTTGTAGATGCATATACATAGGGAGGAATAACTGCGATCTGCAGGCCAGGATCGAGGGAACATATACCTAAATGGTTTGGAAAAAAACTCAAACCATAAACTTCGACAGTTGCAGGTTGTAGACTACCGGTCTCATCCATAGTAAATGTTAATGTTATAGATGCATACTGCAATACGTTGAGATGATAGTCATTTTGTAAAACTGAATCCACCCACATAAACGACGTGATACGGCCAAGGGTCGGTAGATTTCGGTCCTTCTCTCGAAATGCTCACATGTCGCCACGCGTTCGTAGGCATTGCCGGGTAAGTTCTATGCACTGCCTTTAAAGCGGAGAGGGTGTTTCTCATAAAGGTAAAACGCGTCACTCATAATCGGACTGGTGGATGTACTATTCTACCTATAGGATCCGAAAAATCCTGAATCCAAATCTATAATGTAGATATGCTCTAAAATCCGAAAGGATCGAATGGCGTATCAACCTGTCTTGGTCACTGAATACCATGGCAAAGCAACCCCTAACGCTGCTTCACTACCTCGTGGGTCAGATGTCAAGTTAAAGTCTGGAAGTGGGATGGACCCTTGAGATAACCACCCGCCCCAGTTTGTGCGTTCCAGCGGTACCCCAGACCTCTCACAAACCATTAGGTTTTGTGTAGTGCATCACTTGAAGCCCATAATGTACGGAATTTGTCTCAGTAATAATAGCGATGGATATCATCATTCGTTTAGAGATTAATTTGCATTTCCTGCCAACTAACTTTGCTTGATTGTCACTCACCGGTAAGTTCATAAATCCTATTTAGGACGACATGCGCATCCTGGATTCCAGCGATAGTCACAAAACCAGAAAAAACAGATATCATCATGTTGTACAACCTTGTATTAATGAAAGTACGCCAAATGTTAACTCGGTCAACTCAACTAACGTGTTGAGTCATTATGATTAGAAGGCACTGACAATCAGAAAACGTAACTGTTAACCACAGTTTTATTGCAGTTATCCCGCGTAAGTGGTCGGCTGTCAAGTAGATGGACAACTAGTGTGGTGTTCTCAAACGGACAGTAACGTACTATTCATTTATTCACCTAACAACAACACAGTTGGGTATTGTACGTGATAACTGCAGTGAAATAACTACCTGATTAACATTCGGTTCGCAACACATAGCTCACAGGTCACGGTTTGGGATTCTGCTGCAAACCAGATTTTTATTTCAGCCTTAATCATCACTCGGCTACAATAATAGTTGAATTAACACTTCAGTCTTCTAGGATTGACATCAGAAGAAGATGAATCATTAGTGGTTATTAATAGGGATTGTGAGAAAAACGTGAATCCACATCAATCCTGAGAAAAAAAACAACATGCAGCAATTTTAGAATGCTTTCCAACAACGCAGGTTTACAGGGAAACTAAACTATGACATGCCACTGCAAACTTTCGTCAACATCTGACTTCGCTCGATACCAAAGATCAGATGGCCAACCAAAAACAAAAATTCTGGCAAGTGCAGTGAAACATGCGGAAGAAAATCGCTGTAGATTGAATCGTTGAATAGCATCATATCCAAGGAAAGCACCTTGAGTGAAACTCGAATGAGAATTTGATGAGATTCGCATGAATTAAAAAGAAATGAGAGTTTATGAGGAATCGTTGAGCCAGAAGCTAGAGTAGAATTTAGAGAACAGAGTGAAATGGTGATGTGCTGCTGCAAAAGCACAATGTTCCATTAGGAACCCATGCGAATAACAACAATAATTATATAAAATCTGATAAGCTTAAAAAAAATTGGCTAAAAAACGGGATGCCGTTATAAAAACGAGTTAATTCTGATAACCAAAAACCTTTTTTTTACCTTATCCCATACTAAAAACTTGTCTCCACCGCCATCTTCTACTCGTTTTTGTAATTTCTCAACCGAATTCAAGAAGATGTCAAGCCAACCAGATATGGACAATTTACGTTGATCTCGTAGTTCATAAAAATTCGATGAGTCATGTGATGAACATGACGATTCTTGTAGAAGACAAGGAGAAGGAGGAGATCCTTTTAAGAAATAAACTAGTAAACAAGAAATCACATGATTTGAATATATATATATATATATATATATATATATATATACGTCGGTGGCACAGTGGTTGGGACTCTCGCCAATCATGCACATAGTCCAGGGTTCGATTCCCTGACGACGCACACCTGATATCAATGGTTGGACTGCAAATTTAGGCTACTGATATCACGTGCTGAAAATTTCATACTTGTACCGAAAATACGGTGTGGAATCAAGCTATAATCAAAATTAAAATTAATTTGACAAGGTACCCCATATAAAGGTTGAACAGGATTTATCAATAACTATTCAATCTATAGCTGTATCACTCCCAGGAACCCCAACAAACAGTTTATGCAAAGAACTGTACAGAAAATTGAAACACTTAACGGAATCCTGCGATCACTCCATCAAATCCGCAACCGAATTTGTGAAGAAAATCAAAGGCATTCAAATAGACGACTAAGAAATAATAGTATCCTTCGATATAACCGCATTATATACTTCGATTAGATAGAAACTAGCAAAATAAACCATGGGGCAGTTACTTTACAACGACGAACGCCTCTCACAACACTCAAAAATGCAACAAAAAAGTTGGATGGAATGCATAAACCTATGTCTAACAACCTGTTTTTAATTCAACGGCCAAATATATGAATAAATTAATGGAACATCCATATTAGGTCTGATTGCAGAAGCCATGATGCAAACACTTGAAAAAATAATTCTACCGAAGATCAAACCAAAACTTTGGATACGTTACGTGGGTAACACATTTCGATAACTAAAAGCAACGACTACGACAACTTAATATGCGACATCTTCAACGACACCACATTCACAAGAGTAGAGGTGACCAAGGACAAAATTCCAGTTTTGGACGTCTTATCCAAGCGAAAAAGCACAGGAAAATTAAAAACTCAAGTTTAAAGGAATTCGACCCAGACACAATAAGATTTGCATATGAACATTGTCCAAGAGAACCAGGACCAATTGCACCACTCCTACCTAGGCGTCGAGTGCTAGGTTAGGAGGAAGAGGAAATCAATCGACGAGGCTGTGAAATTACATCGACTGAGATGGTTGGGACATGGGGTTATGTATGTCTAGTCATAGCCCTCCTCGACAACGGGCAATGTTAGCTCACATAGGATTGGTCAAGCTGGAAGAGAACCAGTTGTGGTGAAACCGAAACATGACACCAATCAATGAAATCCACCACAGTTAGTTTGAGCCAGCCACGTCGGGATGTGTAGACTTCCTGACTGGCTGGGGTCCTCGGGACGGTAAAAACCAATGGTTGAAAACTATTGGTGACATGGCTCAAAATCACTCTCAATGGCGCAAATGCATCCACTTCTTGTGACTTATGATTTCCAATCAAACTGTTTTGTTCTTCGTTATTACTACTCCTTTGTCTCACACCTCTGTTTACTGTCTCTAATAATCATTTCTTTTACTTTCTTCTCTAGCTGTGTGTTGCATGGAGTGTGGCGACTTGAACTGGCGCACATATGTGCAAAGTTCTATATCGAAAACAGACAGACAGACAGACTCCTGTCTTAAGGAAATCTGAAGAAAAATATCTCATGCACATCCCCTAAAAAATATATATCCACGAAACTTCATTAAAAAACACCTACCTCCAAGCCAAGCAACCAAATCGAAGACCCCCAAGGAAAGCACAAAGAAAATCATCTTGCCGTATATAAAGAGTGTCTCAGAAATCACAACAAGACTATGCAAACCTTTAGGAATTGATGTCGCACACAAACCGACAAAATCACTTCACTCAGATCTGTGTTAAGCATAAGACGTAACAGAGGAAAAAGATAAAACCAACATCACCTACAAAATAAATGGTGACGATCGCAAATAAATACTACATTGGCCAAAGTGGACACCTTCTTCGTCTTCGTATCCATGTCCATAAAATAGCCGTCAAAAGACATGATATCCACTCCCTCAAATCGCTGCATACAGACGACCATGTACATCAATTCAACTGAGACAACGTTCAAATATTCGACAGAGGAAACACCAGAGCCATTTTTGAAGCCTGGTATTCTAGTGAATCAGCAATTAACAGGCTCACTGACAAAGGCAAAATTCGCCAATCGATAAGAAGGGAATCTCACATACACAAAGGATAAGACTTCAGGTCAAGGAAACAATCAATACTAATACACGTAGCCTAGAGGGTGTGAAAACAGGCAAGAGCAGCCAACCACACTCAAGGTCACTAGGAGAGATGACTAATAAACTCGTGGAGAAATCTAAAAGCTCACTTCAAATTGAAGTATGCACTGAAGATGTTACCTAATAAGGCATAGAAATTTTCCCAAGTAAAACATCCAGTTCAGAGAACACAACTACATCAAAATCATCCACCTGAGCTACAAATCTGCTCCATTATATATAAAGTATAACACTATTTCTAGTTTGTTGGCATCCCATTGATTTCGAAGCAGATTCCGTCAAGTATTAATATTACATAGTGAACCTATCGAGAAATAGGAAGTGGCCTGACGTGACTTCCAACCATCTTTCTACAGACTGAATCCAAGGCAGATGTGAGTAAACTACTATATGGCCAAAGGGTTGGAACACAACAGTTCAAGAAATAAAGGTTGTAAGGCCACATTACGGTGCGGCTGACACCTGACGACGTCATTAGCGACGAGTTGTAAGATATATTTCCTAAATTTCTAATGCTAGGCTATATTCGATGAGGAACCCTGTGTCCAGTATTGGGACAGATATTAACAGATAACATCGGTTGGCGGTGGCATTGCCCCAACAACTGACAGGAATTCATAGGCTGTTGGAACCCAGTCCACTGGCTGAGTAGTCACTTGGTCTCCTCCAAATCCAACGTTCCTGAATTAGAGCTCTCATAGAGTTATGCTGATGAACTGATGGAAAGACCCACACAATAATGAAACAGGTGTCTACTGCACTGACTTTACTCTCCATTCTCCTGGATTGTTACTATTTGTCATATAGTGCTCCTACATGGTTCAGAGGCTTAGCGCATCACCCAAAAGCACCTCCAACAAGTTACCACAAGCTTTCATCAACAGCTGTCTTCACCGGAAACTGAAGATCATATGGTAAAAACAGTCAACAACAAGGGACGGGGAATAATCCGGACGACAACGGATCGTCCAACAAATGAGCAGAAGGAAGTGGAGATGAATTAGATCTATACTGAGGAGACCATTGAGTGAAATAACGTGCTAGACCGTCGAATGAAGTCAAATCGGTGTCCAGCAGTAACTTGGCAAGATCATATGTAGCTAGTAAGCAGTCGTGTAGGCAGCTGAACATGAAGGTAGAGAGCTGAATTGAAAAGCGGTGTGTTATTCACAACAGGATTACTTTACAATAAAAATTACGATCTTTTATTTCTTGGTAGAATGTTCGCCAGCCATGAGGGGTCCGCGTTCGATTCTTGGTCGACGCGCATGCCAAAACCTCACTTGGCCGGTAGTAATCCCGATAAGAGGGAAGGTTAGGAGTGTTGCTAGTAAAACTACCACTACTTAAACTTGAAAGTGTGAAACCCTATGATTCTATTCGGAACAAAAAAATTTCTTGAACGACAAGTATGCATGTCAAGATAATCAAACAATCAATTTCTTTTTCTTCGCTAAGGCCCTAGTCGTTGATTCTATCAGTGGAAACAGTAAACAAACACTTCAGCATATTTCAGTTCTCAACAGCCGTTTATCAAAGCATACAACTGAAAAGTGCATACGACGATGCCAATAGAAATCAAGTAAAAAGTTATGTTTACAAAGCAGTCCAGTGTGATATCCTGATCACTACATGATTAAATCAAAGGAAAAAATGATTAAATGTGATTCAAAAGTCACTTGCACTTCCATGTAGCTAAACAATTAGACACACCTATTTTGTGACATCTTGTAATACTACCTAGCTGTCTAAACCTTAAGTAGATGCTGCAAAGTTCTGACCCCAGATCCTACACCAATGAGCTGCAGATACAGGTCTACTTATGGGAGCTGGGAAACCCTGATTCCAAACCTATGGTGTATGCATGGGCCCCACAATCCGAAAGGATAGAATGGCGTATCAACCTGCCTTGGTCACCGACAACCATGGGAACCCAGCTCCTGATACAGCTCCATTGCCTTGTATATAAAACCTCAAGTCAAGGGCTCGGCGGGGGTGGTCCCATAAGACAACCACCTGCTACGGTCCAACCCTCGTACAAACTATGACGTTTTGTATACCACATCTCTTGGTGCCTATAGTAAACCAAGTTTGTGTTTTAATGATAACTATACACATTAAATCAAAGGAACTAGATATCTCACCCTTAGACGTGAAAATTACCTTGTTAGGTCGATTTGACAAGTGAAGTATGTCATTCTGAAAAGGATACTTACAGAAGAAAAACACTAAGTCAAAATTTAATGATTACCTGAGTTGTAGTTTATTGCCTCCTTCAATGTAGACATCTCCAATGGATTTGGTTCACGACGATCCTGACGATCTACCCATAGATCACGCATACCGATCAAAGTGACAATATCACGATGAAATAATCTCCAAGCCAGTGAACTACTAGCAGTAGATGATAACTCGTTATCTGTTGAGTTAGAATGATTAGCTTTGTTAGACCACAACTGTCGAAACCATTCTCTTAGGGTTAACTGACTAGGTTTATTTAAGCCTGAATTGTTCAAGCCATCCGAATTATGTGTATCATTGGCTTCAGTGGTGGGGCTACTCGTAGGCAACTTTACTTCACTCTGACTATGATTACTATTATTATTGTGATGTAAATCTGGATCTGAGAAATCTGGAGAGATGTCTTCATCGTCGACATCCGACTGACCAAATAACTGGCTAAAAGTTTTAATTTATATGTGAAAATAAAAAAAATGTTCAACAGACTTTTTAACTGTTTTAAGTTCAATTAAAGACAAAGGGAGATATAACTATATGAGGTAAAATAACTTCTGAAACATGCCGAGATGTGAATACAGCTTCAAAATAAATTGACCACGATTGCTTACTAATATTTACATACCCAGCTAACAGTTGTGCAAAGTTGAACGATTGCATTTCAACATAGAACTTTGCAAAAAAGTACAACAGTTCATACTACAACACTGCACTTAACACACAAAGGTAAGCAAACGAGAGAGAAAAAGATTGAAAAGAACTGTAATGAAAAAAATGTGAGGGAGAAACAATAGTAACATGGAAAAGCATGACAGTTTAAGAAATATGGAAGATCGTAAACAGCGTGCATTTGCGACACTGAGAACGATTTTGAGCCATATCGCTATTTGTCTCCAGCAATTGGTTCGTAGCATTCCAAGGACCACAAACACGCAGTCGACACCGCCCTATGAGGCTGGCTCATGCCAACAGGCGAAACTTTATGGACTGCTCCCAGGTTTTGTCTTAACCGCTTCTAACTATTTTCCAATCGGCTACCACTGCGCTTGGAGGAAGGTGTCTCTGTGTGAACAGCACGTGTCTTAGCCATCTTAATCGATGTAGAAAAAAGGCTGTTCGGTGTTTAGATCACCGCGATATGGATGGCTAGCAAGCACTACTGATTGACTTGACTGGTGTCCAACTCATGTCAATCAATTAATAGTATGCAGAGTGATACATTCATGCCTTTTCATCGCTATTCACTACAACTCAATAGGTATATGCATGTTCGTGAAATATCGCATGGGGCTTAGTGATACTAAATGTTGTCCAAACTTCAGCACGGGTTGTCACACGTTTTACACAGCTGATCAAAGTAAATTAACTACACTGGCTGAAGCACAGCTTCACCTGCTGCAACAACGTATTGAATATAAGACGAAAAAGTCGATAAAGTGCCTGTGGAAAATAGTTCATACAATCGACCACAGCAAGATGAGAAATCACCATCCTAAACACCGATTGCATTGAAAAAAAGATCTTTTATCCTTTAGTAACGTAAAACTCAGCACATACTATCTTACTTGAATAAATATTTTGCCCATACAACACAATGGATTGGTTCAGACGGTGTATTACGTATAGTACAAGCAGGAAAGTGACGTTGACCTAAACCACGAGGTTGACATTCATAACATCCAGTACGACAAGTTAAGACACCATCCGAATTTGATGACTCCTCTGTTCGAATGGCAGGAAGCAATGGTTCAACTTGTCCCAAGTAACCAGCAGTGCCGGATTCGACTAAAGGAATCTTTGCCGATACACACATACGATTAACATGTTTTCGTGCAGCTGTCAGCGTAAAATATAGGATAAATGTAATTTAATAATCAGACATGAAATAATAAAAAAATGTTTTATTCCAGATGACGTCACATATGTAGGGACTCTTCGGTGATTAAAAGTAATATATTTATTGGACTTGTCAATAAATCACCAAGGATAATGACCACTTTTATCAGCCTCTGTGGCTTGGGGAGTTATTACGAACGGTTCATTGTCCCCTGGTTGTGGAATCCATCGAAGGTGAAGGTGGTCAGCTTGAATTGAGGCATAGATTTTTTTCAAACAGTTCTATTCGGTTAGAATCTATTGGCAAGTTGTGATATCGTTTGGTAGGAATAAAAAAAAATCAACTGACTTTACGGCTCCACACACTCGAACCGCTGCCCTTCGATGCCAAGCTCTATGTTGAATCCAGACAGACAGACAAACACGTTATCATCATACATGCCTTAGAATAGTAGTAGTGGTTAACGCAACTATTTGTTACTTACAAGACTGGAAATCTAACATAAGAAGCATCACTTTTTAAAATCACGAAAGCTGCACAAAGTTAGGATATTTTGAGCAAACAATCCCTTTATTAGTGCAAGAATGTTATTTGTTGCACAGCCTTGTGGATTATTACTTAAATCCAAAGTGACAAACAAATTTCTACCAAATCCTCAATAATAAAATACCATTTATTGGTAACAGTGACGCCTACGACTAAACGCAATTATACAACGATATTGAAGAATTGGAAAAATTCCTATTGTCTTTATATCCTCTAAGCCCTGTGTTACTGGTAGCCACTTTTCTATTTTTTTAAACAATATATTACTCCATGTGATGTTGTATCTTAGCTGTCAACTTGTAAGCACGTCATGACATGAGATTATTCACCCATAACCACGTTAAATATTAACATCATGCTAATTAAATGAAGGAAGATTTCGAAGCAACTATGTATTTAATGCCATAGGAATACAACAAACTGACACCTTTTAAAGCAAACTATCCAGAGAGACAATGTTTTAAGTAAAAGTACAGCACAACCAGTAAATCTTATCTTCGGCCTACTGCATGAATTTTGTAGGGACATGGTATAAAAACCGCACAAACGCTGAGCCACTTAACTGTGGGGATTTACTTTCTCATTGTATTTAATGCCTCATCTCAGGAAAAGTAGTGAATAATGTCATGAAATGTATTGCGCAAACAATATATATTTTACTGTGAGATGGTACGCTATGTGATAGTGAAGTATCAGAAGCTTTATGCTGACAAGAGGAAAAAACGTATTTAAAATTATGGTCCGACTAATCTTACTAAAATGTATACTAATAACATTTTGTCACAGTAAATTGATGTATGAATAATTCACAAGATGTAGCCAGGCAAATGTCCAAATATAAACGTGCATACTGTATATTCATGCTACTAAATAGCCATTATATGTACAGTTTCCTACTCTACGGAGGATGCAACTACTCTTATATAACCAGCATAACAACTTTACCAAGCTCATCCTGTTAGTAAATCTGCATCAGTTTTATATCACTATGAGAACAAACAAAAACAGGCCGCGTGTGACCGGCCTCAAGCAGTTGTCCCCTGGGCTCTGCGGTCACGCAACCAACTTCCACGGTGTGGGCAGCCGGGAAGTAACAAACGCCCTCACAATCCGAAATGCACACAAAACCTCTCTAATCCTCACTTATCTTTGTCTTCATCTTCATCTCTATTACCTTGCCTTCCCCCCAGTGATGCAACTCCTCTACTTGATGGCTCCTCACTCGCTCTTCACTCTGTGTCCACTAAAAACGACGAAAGCCAAAAAACCACCACGGATAGTCTCCTAAAGCCACGCCACCAATTTCATATAGGAGCATTTAATGTTAGGACACTTTGCCAAATAGGACAACAAGCATCACTAGCTAAGACCCTGGCATCTCGAGCCATTGATGTATGTTGTGTTTCAGAAACACGCATACAAGACCCAAGTGTGGTTATTCACCTAACCCCACCTGGCCAACAGGATGAATCTTCAAAATTCACCTTGAGGGTGTCAGGAGATGCCACAGCTAGTTCACGAGGATTAGCTGGCGTAGGGATAGCTCTGAGTACTAGGGCAGAAAAGACATTACTTGACTGGATCCCGGTAGATAGCCGAATGTGTGCTGTCCGTCTGAACGGATCAGTAAAAAGGAGAAAGGACTGCACTACTCGCCGATGCCTTTTCGTAATCTCCGCCTACGCCCCCACTGACTGCAGTTCGGATGAAACGAAGGATGAGTTCTACCAAAAGCTGTCTAGTTTGGTGAGAAAGGCTAAACGCTCAGATATAGTCGTTCTAGCTGGTGACTTTAATGCTCAAGTAGGGAAATTGTGTCAATCTGAGAAGGATGTCGGTGGCACCTATGGAGTTCCGTGCCAGCGAACCGACAACGGTGACCGTCTCCTACAGTTCTGTTCAGATAATCATTTGTTTCTTGTAAGCACTAACTTTAAACACAAGGAGAGACACTGTTTAACCTGGCGACCCCCATCATCAAACCAACGCTGGACACAAATAGACCACATAGCAATAAGCTATCGTTGGCGTGGGTCGGTAGGAGATTGTCGCTCCTTTTGGAACACGTGTGTAGATACCGATCACGCACTGGTCCGGGCTCGTGTGTGCTTACGACTGAACGGACGTAGGAAACAGCTGGCGGTAAAACCATCACGTCCCCAGCTCGATCAGGAAACTAAATCCCTATTTGAGGAAGAACTAGCTAAACGCATATCTGAATTCGACAGCTGTGCTCACCCTGGAGAAGCCTGGAAGAATATTCAGTCAGCTATAGATACAGCTGTAAAAGCTGTGAATAAGGCAAATCCAAAGGTGAGTAAAAACCACTGGATTTCGACTGCCTCATCCGAACTGATAGATGCTAGAAGACTTATTCCGGCGAGCTCCGAATTCAATGAGGAGCGAAAGCTGCACAAAAGGAAACTTACTAAAAGTCTCCGCAAGGACCGTGAACAGTGGTGGGTGACAAAGGCGAAAGAGATGGAAAAAGCATCGGCGATAGGCAACACTAGGCAACTCTTTAGACTCATCACAGAAACGGGTGGGAGAAGGCAATTCATAAGTGAGACTATTTCTGAGAAAAATGGCTCCTTAATTAGCTCTCAGGATAGACGCCTTGAACGCTGGAAAGAACACTTTGAGGAACAATTTAACTTGCCTACAGCCACACTGAACCTCCCCGCCATCCACCACACACCCGAATGGGATATAGACACTGGTCCGCCGTCTGTAGGTGAGGTTACAAAAGCTATCAGTAATTTGAAACGAGGCAAAGCGGCAGGACCCGACGGAATTATTCCGGAGGTGTTTAAATATGGGGGTGACATACTAGTTTGTAGATTAACTGAGGTACTAGGCAAAGTCTGGGAATCAGAGACAGTACCATCAGACTGGGGTAAGTCACTTATTATACCGATATTCAAGAAGGGAAACAAGTCCTCGTGTGATAATCATAGGGGGATCAGCCTAACGAACATAGTCTCTAAAATCCTAGGCTCAGTAATCATGCATAGACTAAGCAGAACTCGGGAGGGAAAATCAACCGACGAGGCTATAAAGGTACATAGACTAAGATGGCTAGGTCACGTGCTGCGCATGCCTAACCACCGCCTCCCCGACGGGCATTGCTAGCTGACATAGGTTCAGGTTGGAAAAGAGCCAGTGGTGGCCAAACAAAAACATGGCATCAATCCATGAAATCCTTGACAGTTAAACTGAGTCAGGTAGGGAGATGCAAACTTCCGGGTTGGGGTCCTCGGGACTCTAGGAATCAATGGCTGGAGACAATAGGTGACATGGCTCAAAATCGTTGTCAATGGCCAGCGCAGATGTATTCAGTCTCTGTAATCTTTCATATTCCTTTCTACAATTACCCATTCTGTTTCACTCTTATATTTGTCAAACTCTATTGATTCTCTTCACTAATCTTCTTGTCTACCGCTGTGTGCTATTTGGAACGTGGCAACTCGAACTGCTGCACTTTGGTGCCAAGTTCTATGTTGAACCCAGACAGACAGACAGATATCACTATGCATAGTCAACAGTGAGTAATTTTTGTAACAGGAGTATTATTCTACACCTACTACAAGTATCTAACACTAAGTAGAAGAGAAATTACGGAAAATAATAACCAAAATTGATTACTTTCGCATATAGTTTGCCTTCTCAATTAGGTTCCTTAGAAAATATTAGTAGGTAATACGATAGTCAGATAGAATGTGGTAGAGACTACGGTGGACACAAAAAAAGAAACTGTAAAGAACAGATACTACGTCCAAACAACTTTCAGTTAACCAGTCATACCATTAATCCTTCAAATCAAATGTATGTATGGAAACTGGTTTATTCCGTTAATAAACAACAATTATGAGAATCTGGGACAATTTCCTGCGGAAAAACCAGTTTGTATAAATAAATCCACATTGAGTGGTAAACGATCTGACTGACTGTTGCCATCGAATCTTGAGTGTGGTGTCTACTCTTCATAGTCGCCATCTACTTTAACATCTAAATAATTAAGCAGTAAGCATATGTACAGCAGAATGTTATGATCAGCACTACTAATACACTAAGATTGAAATTCCATAACTACACTAGTGGTTGCTAGAACTAGTGAGGACATTCTAATCTTATCCGTTAGTAGGAAAATAAATTCGATCCTTACTCCGTATAAGTAACATGAGCATTGAAATGAACTTACTGAAGCCACACTCCTAGTTTAACAAGCACGACATTTATATGGAGGGCACAAGCTAACACCCTGAGCACAACTCATTCATCAAACTATTCATGCCATTACGTAACTCTTATTTAACAATCATTTATGACAACTCATCGCTTTTGTTACTATCCTCTTATCAACATCCAATTCATCTGAACTTACTAATTGTATTTTCGTTTGACAAATTTAATGTATACACACACACACACAAAATAACCATATATGTTTGCGATTGTACAGCTATGAAAATGAATTCGCCGAAAAGAGAATTCGCTAAACTACTCGTCTTTTGTCTACTAATGTTCGAATGGGAATTATTCATGAACTAGACAATAGTAAGGCTCCGCCTAAATTGTACTGTAAAGTGAGAATATAAAACATGTCAACAGAACGAACAGTAAATTATTTAGGGTTACATTATATAGGCAGGGAACACACTTACCAAGATTGTCTAGAGCATTGAAAACTACAGTAAACTTCTCAAAAAAACGTTGAATTAAATGTGGAGCTAGGATGAATTAGAAGAAATTGACAACCAAATTACCTAAAAATACTTTTGTGATAAGCGATAATGTTAGCAGATGGTTTAAAGGCCAAGACGTTAAATCTAGCCGTCTGTTAGAGAAATATAAAATAACATTATTCAGACCTCTGCTTTGGACCGCCCAACGTGTTTTTTGTGGAAAAAAATTGTCTATTCAGGTTGCTGATATCAATGGTGTCGAGGTCAACCTTCAAAATAATGATTAAATTTATAATATAATATAATATATAATATATATATTCTCATATAAACATATAAATTTACATGAAAATGCATGCCGTTTTTACAGGCACGATCAAGTATGATATAATATCAAATCATAGATTGTCTACAAGTTAATGTTTCAACAGTTAAATATTTGATATATATATATAAATACACATTGTCTGAACTAGGCTGTATAGTTATTGAATTGTACAATTGTCCTCCAGGTTGAGCGGGAAAATCGACTTCGTTTCGTTTTCATCCCGTGGTTGTCGGCATACGATAACCAACCAATATTGAGGTAAGTACAACGTTTACAACGGATTGAAAGCTGTTTTTAGAAAAGTAAAAGTGCTAAGGTGAATCAATAAAGTGTAATGAAATAGGTAAGTGCAAGTATCACTAATAAATGCATTAATATAGAAAACTCCCTAGGCTGACAACGTTCATTTGCAATGTATAATGCTACGCGTATATCTGGTAGTATCATGATGTCCACTTTTGGTTTTAATACATTTTTTCCTTATGTCCGTTGTTAAAACCATTATAGACCAGGTTTTTTAGCAGTTCACAACCAATACCACCAGCTCCAACTACTAGAACAAGTGGATACTCTGGCGTCCCGCTCATTTTCAAATGACGGACAGTCAGACCTTCAGGACAAGCCTCAATTCATGGTATTCCAATATCCATTATCTTATGATTTCCTTAAGTAAACCTACTAGTAGCTTGACGCTCGTTTCATGAGGTTTTGCAGAGGAGCTGATCCGTTGAGTGATTCGAATGCCACAGTGTGGATGAGAAGAGTAAAGGAAGGGAAAACTAGAATTCATTCAATGAACTTCTGGGACTTCCAAGCGAAATGAAGGTTTGCAGACAAGCTGAAAACATACTGAAGCTAACCAAAATCCACTATAGATACAGCATTTAACACTGCTTTGTTTTCTTCCTTTCAGGAAAACATCCAGGAGTCCATTATGTGGAGCAAAAGGCACAACTTCTATCACTTTTTTGTTTTATTTTTGATCACAGCTTGATTCCACGCTGTTTGCAAATTTTGCAGGCTGACGATAGATATCAGGTGTGCATCGGCAGGCGATCGAACCTCTGACCATGTGCACGGTCGGCGAGAGTCCTAACCACTATTCCACCGACGCACAGTGCACATATGAAGACTTGATATAAGCGATAACAAATAGACTGTCTTCTGTGAGGGCTTGGCGCGCATACTCTGATCTCTGTCACTGTACAAAGTACACGCTCATACGGAGCCCACGTTCCGCTTTCCCTCCTTGTGTGATTGATGCTAATTTTTGCAATACTAATAAATGTCCAGTTGAATGAATGGTAGGTATGCAGGTGAATAAGTAGTTAAAGTTGGGACAAGGGTTTGAATAAATAGCAGTTGGAACGGGTATATAAAACAGAAAACTAGAATCTCTGAGTTGGAACAAATTACGAAATAACTAAATTCTGGTCATTTATTCTTCTAGAGCAGTCGTTCTAGACCTAAACCGATAGACTGGTGTTGACCTTCCGTTTTTGTCTAATGATCTGGTCTTCCCAAAAAGCTACTAACCGTTTGTTGATCATGTCAGCCAGAAGTGAATACCATAAGCAGCATTCGCTGAAGGGAAAGATATTGAATCTTAATGTTGTCTCCTAGTTAGCGATTCTCTACTGTTAACGGAGTAGGGTTACCGTAATGCTCTTCTTGCAGTATCTATCTTCGAGTGATTTTTTGTACACTATTTTCCTGATGATTATTAACTCATACCCTAGACCAAAAATATCTAAGAGTATATATATGTTGTCTTTGGAGATACTAATCTCACGGTCGGCACTTCAATCTGGTGACATCTTTATTCGTCTTCCCTTGTACATTTCTTTGTTCAATCTCATGAATAGCGTAGGTAGGTGCCCCACCCCTACCCCTGTGCAAAAATTAAAAAATTATGATGTCCTTGGCTAACTAGCACGAGGCTGACATTCGCATTCATTTTTTTCTGCGGGTAGAACACGAATGAGACCTGTTTCTCTGTGGAGGATATTGGTTTATCATAATCACCAGGAATCGCTAACTGATACTGGCGTGGGGATAAATGTGGCCCAATATTCGTTAATTTTACCCGGTTACCCAGTTTTTCCTACATCCTAACGGAGTCTAGCTCATTTCGAATGACTCTTTGCATATTCATGACACCAGGGTAGAGGAACATAGATGGGCATAAGCCACAGTGCGCGCTTTTCGATCACTGCGTTACTTTTTGCTGTAATTTATAAAACTCTAATTTCCTTGCTATTGTTCACCAGGAAGTTCTGGAAATTATTGAATTCTTTTAACTTTCGAAGGCTTAAACTCTGGATTTACTATTATTGACTACTAATACCTATAACAAAGTTTGTGGACATTTGTATCTTTTAACAACAACTCATAAGTAAAATTCTATATATTATTGGATTTATATGTTCAAGTTGGCCCAAGTCAGTGAGTCCAAGATTTTGGTATCATTTTAGTTAACTGGGCTGAACTATATTGCATGTTGTTTTATCGTATCGTTGTCGCTTTTGCCAATCTTGCTGTGAATTGTTTTCCGTTTGTTGGTGTTGTTCTGATTGTTTTATCCCTTATAATATATTCATATAAACATAAATTTACATGAAAATGCATGCCATTTTTACAGGCACGATCAAGTATGTTATAATGTCAAATCTTAAATTTTCTACAAGTTAATAATGTTTCAACAGTTAAATATTTGATACATATATATAATTACACTCATTGTCTGAACCAGGCCGTATAGTTATTGAATTGTACAGTTGTCCTCCAGGTTGAGCGGGAAAACTGACTTCGTTTCGTTTTCATCCCGTGGTTGTCGGCATACGGTAACCAATCAATATTGAGGTAAGTGCAACGTTTCCAAGGGATTGAAATCTGTTTTAGAGAAGTTAAAGTGCTAAGGCGAAACATTAAAGTGTAGTAGATAAAGTGAGTGAAATATATCATTAATAAACACATTTATATAGAAAACAGAATGGGGAAGTAATTAATCCTTAGGCCGACAACGTTCATTTGCAATGTATAATAAAACCAATATATTTTGTACTATCATGATGTCCACTTTTGGCTTTAATACAATTATTTTCAAGCCAGTTGTCTTTATTTCATGCTTTTTTGTCTATTTGGTGCACAACCGTACCCTCCAGAGAATAGGAATAGAATAAGTCGAATCAAATTCATAAAGAGCTATAAAATGTTAGGTTTAATGGAATATAATGAGGATCAAGTAAAGACGTTATTAGAAAATAAGTGAGACAAGACATTGTGAAGTGGTATTTAAAGATCCGGCAATGGACAGCAAGTTAATTTATCAGATGACCCAAAAATCTGCACAGATCACACGTGGTCGCATCTCAACAATAGGCTGAGCGAATGGTATATATTTAAAGGTAGAAGCATGATCTGTCTAGGCGTTCATTATTATCTTTTTCAAGATAAAGATCTAAGCCCTCATAAAAATCAGAAATATCTCGAGCCTTCAAATTGCATATTGCTGTTCCTGCAGAATGGGGTGATTCACCTTAGTGACCACCACCATATCTACTGATCAGCTAGCGCCACCCTCCCTCCTTTTTTGATGTTAGGCTCTGAGACTATGATTATTATGGCTACCGCAAATATATTGCTTGGTACCAGACATGTTCGTACCCCATATTCCATCTCCCTAGCTTTCTTAATGAGTGCTTACAATAGGTCTCCACGTACATCTTTATGGACATATTATATATGTGTGCATGCATCCTAATGAGCAGGTTACTTTATAAGAAGTCAAAAACTTAAAGAGTAAAACGAATAGGTATTGTGAATAGTGGAGCAAGATTTAGCAGAACACTATGGTTAAGGTTCAATGTAGGTAGTATGAACTGAAGGTAAGGTCGGTTGGCAGGACTTGGTGTACTTATATATAGTAAACATCTGACATTGCAAAGTAACGTGTCTAGACATATTATAAAAAGATATTAACATGGAACCAACAAAATTTTGGCATTTGGTTAACAATATTGCAGTGTGTGTATACTGAAGAATGGTAGTTAGTCTACAGGGAGCCTTAGAGTGAATCAAACCATATATAATAAGAGTATAATCAATAATATAATTCGTATATCAAATAATACACTAGGCTCAATAATTTTATTTTTATTTTTTGATTTACAGCTTGATTCCACACTTTATTTTTGGTACAAGTATGGAATTTTCAGCATGGGTATCGGTAGCCCAAATTTTGCAGCCCGACCATAGATATCAGGTGTGCGCCGGCGTGGGCTCGAACCCCGGACCATGTGCATGGACGGCGAGAGTCCTAACCACTGTGCCACCGACGCACGAGTGTTATAAGAAAAACAAGCGCGGTAAAGCAAGAGAACATGTGATGCATTAATATTTTAAGTATTTTAATAACCACCCAATTTAAGAATTGAACATGCATGATTAATAAGTATTATTATACTAGTATATACATATGTAAAATGTTAAAAGGTGTGGATGTTATTACAATTATTTCCAGTGTTCCTTTTGCCAACAAAACTTAGGGAAAATTATAGAGAATAGAAATCAGTAAATTAGTTAACGTTTGCTGCGTGAGTATTCGAGTCGAGATATACGTATGTGACTATACTGAAGACTGGACTGGCCTTGTTATCTGATTTTAAGGGGAGCAGCCCAAAAAGGTCGCTTCTCTCTAAACTTTATCTTAATGTAACAATTCCTTTCTCAGGCGTGATGCTAGCAATCCCATCCTGTAAACAAAGTTGCTACATAAACTTCAGCACAGTGAATCGCTTTGCGCCAAAAGAAAAAGTCTTTGTGGGGACATGGGACGTCCACACCACGTATGAGATTGGCAAAGCTTCTCAGATCGCAAACGAGATGAAAAGATACGGAATCCAAATGCTGGGACAACAGAGAACTAGTAATTGTGCTATATTTCGATATAACAAAAGCCTTCGATAGAGTCCCCCATAATTTGCTAGTCAGCAGGTTATGCTCACTAGGGATATGTGACCCCCTCCTGAGCTGGATAAGATCATTTCTCTGTGACAGGAATCAGATAACGAAAGTTGGCTCGATAATCTCAAGGCCTAAACCAGTAAGTATTGGTATAATCCAGGGAAGTGTATTAGGCCCACTCCTATTCATAATATATATAAACAGTATCTGTGAATGCTTTAGTGTTGGTAAACCAATACTATATGCAGATGACTTAAAAGTGACCTATAAATGCAAGAACACAGATCTCGGAATAACAGTAAACGCCATACAGCAAGAATTAGAAAAAATAGATAGATGGTGTGACACCTGACAACTCCAGTCTAATGTCGACAAATGTGGCTGCCTCTGCATAGGTTGCAACAATTTAGAACTTGACCTGACAATTCAAGGCCATGCACTCTTACGACTGGAATCTGTATTGGACCTAGGACTGAAATACTCACATGACTTATCATTTTCTGAACATATCTCCAAACAAGTGTCAAAGTCACGCAG